GAGGTTCTATCAGCTGTTTTTATGAACTGTGGGTTGTTCTTCAGCCTGAAACTAAAAATGAAACCAGCCGTCCTGAACTTCCTCTTCTGAGCTGTTTTCTGTCGTTCACACGTTTCTCTTTGTTCCCTGTTTGCTGCAGAACCGGCGCCGCCCAGATCGCTGCTGGCTGTCAACGCCACGCACTCGTCCGTCACTCTGCTGTGGACCGAGGACGGCGTGGTGGACTACTACCAGGTGGCCTGCAGGCCGAGCCGCGGCACCAAGGAGCTGAAGGTAAGGCTGGACCTGTGGAGGTCGGGCTGGAGCGGGCCAGCGCCAGCGGGTCGGACCGCTTCTCCAGCTGCAGACGGAGGAATCGTGGCTCAGCTGGGCTCAGGCTGTTAGAATGATGACTGAACATGAAACAGAACTGGGTCAGACCAACGTGTACGGAGCGCGCTCAGAGCTGAGAAACATTTCAGCAACGCTTTTCTAACTTTATGTTCCTGAAGCTTCAGATGCGTTCATCTGGTTTTGTTCTCGTGTTCATCCTGATGTCATCTCACCTCCTCCTGAGGACGGATCTCGTCTCCTTTTCTTTCTTTGTCTCATTTTATCTCCACCTGATCTCATCTCATCCTGCTTTCATTCCATCTTCATCCTGAACTCGTCTCGTTTCATCTCGTCTTCGTCTGTTTGTCTCGTTGTCGTCTCATCTCCTCTCAGTCACATGTTGGTTTTATCTCCTATTTTATCTCAGTTTCATCTCGTTTGATCTCGCCTTCATTTCATCGTCTTGTTTTGAATTCATTGTTTTCTTCATTTCAAGACGTCCGTTCAGGTTTGATCTCGTCTCTTCTTCTCTTCCTTTTCATTTCATGTCAGCCTTTTGTTCTGAGCTCCGTCTGGTTTTCGTCTCTCGTCTCGTTACGATCCGACGTTCGTCTCATCTCGTTTATCTCCAGACCGTCGGCTCCTCGTTTGGTTCTTCAGCGTTCCGTTTCTTTCTGTTTCTGATTCAGACGTGAGAAAATCCGACAGAAACAGAAAGTTCAGACGAAGAGTTGCAGTTTTACACGAGTCTGGAAACAACAGACGATGAATCAGCAGGAGGCCCGATTCTGTCTGAGCCGCTGCCGGATCAGTAACGGTTCAGTCAGAATTAGTCAAACTACCGTAAAGCTGACGGGTCGTCCTGTTGGTCAGAACCGTCTCAGAGGAACGTCTGGATTCAGGGAAACGTGTCCTGTTGTTGTTGTTGTTGTTGTTGTTGTTGTTGTTGTAGTTGTTGTTGTTGTTGTTGTTGTTGTAGTTGTTGTTGTTGTTGTTGTTGTAGTTGTTGTTGTTGTTGTAGTTGTTGTTGTTGTAGTTGTTGTTGTTGTTGTTGTTGTTGAGGGATTTTAAAATGCAGTTCAGTTCTGAACATAGTGAATGAAACAGCTGTTAAATACTCGTCAGATGTTCTCAGACCTCGTTGGACCTCATGTTTGGCTGCAGGTTGTTCTGATGCATCGTAGCTTCAGATCAGCTCATGTCAGGAAGAAACGTCTCTGGTCTGAACGTCTTCATCTTCATCATCATCATCATCATCATCTTCATCTTCATCATCTTCATCTTCATCATCAGCGTCGTGTCAGAAGTCGTCATCACACGGAAACAGGAAGTGAACCGTTGCCGTGGAAACGTGACAGCTTGTTTTGCGTTTTTTAGAATGAAGGGCGTTAAATCAGCCGCTCTTAGATCACAGATGTTCTGCTCTGAGCGACACGCAGCAGCAGGAACCAGAACCAGAACCAGAACCAGAACACTCAGGAAAACCCAAAACAAAGAGACTTCCTGCTCTTCAGCTCATCTGGACCTCGTTTTTATCTCACTTTAGTCTCATTCTCGTCCTGATTTAGTCTCAGTTCTGCTTCATTCTCATCATCGTTCCACTTCGTCTCGTTTTATCTCCGGTTCATCTGGGTTTGGTCAGATTTTTATCTTGTTCTAATCTCACTTTTTTATTTGTTTTTTCTTCTCAGTTTTGTCTCATTTCAGTTTAATATTTGTCTCTAATTCAACGTATGTTCATCTGGTTTTCATTTCGTTTTCGTCCCACGTTCATCTCAGTTTTATCTCTTTTTATCTCTTTTTATCTCGTTTGTCTCGATGTGATGTCGCCTTCCCCACAGTTTTATTCTTGTTTTCATCTCAGTTTCATTTTATTTTGTTTTCATCTCTTCACCATCAGATATTCATCCTGGTTTCATTTTTCATCTCATTTCATCCAGTTCTCTACCGAAGTGTTTCTGGTTGATGTTCTGGACGCCGCCGTCTCTCTTCTCGTGTCGTGTCTGAGGCTTTCTCCTCCACGTTGTTCTTCCTTCAGACTCGGGAGCCTCAGACGTCGACGTCTCACGTGGTGACGGTTTCCGGTTTGCTGCCGTCGTCCAGCTACAACTGCACCGTGACCAGCTTCAGCTACAGCACGCCCAGCAGACCGGCCCACATCAGCATCAGCACCGTCGGTAGGTGGCGCTGTTCGCAGGAGCATTGTGAATGTAAACATGAATTACTGGATGAATCCATGAATGGGGTGAAGCTGTTGAGGGTTATTTATCAGGCTGGCACATGTGAGGTCATGAATTCTGGGTTTTCAGAGGCCTTTAAAGGAGAAATAACTTGAATTTGCAAAATGATTTTGGGTAAAAGATGAAGGCAGACATGTGACATAAATGTCAATAAGTTCATCATGACATGAAGCACGGTGGTGGCAGCATCATGACGTGAAGATAACAGAGGAGTAGCAGTCGTGTCTGTGATTCTGTGTAATTCACATTAACTGATGTCTGTTGTGTGTCTGTTTGTGTGTCTGTTTGTGTGTCTGTTTGTGTGTCTGTTGTGTGTCTGTTTGTGTGTCTGTTTGTGTGTCTGCAGCCAAAGAGATGAACCCCAGCGTGGCGGCCATCTCGGCTCTGGCCGTCCTCAGCATCCTGCTCATCATCCTGCTGGTTCTGTTCCTGCTGGTTCTGAGGAAGAAACACCTGCAGATGACCAGGTAGCAGCACAACAACACAACAACACAACAACACAACACACAGAGGAGAGCAGAAGTTCCGTCTTGTGCAGAACCTGGTTGATGAATTCGGTCCATTTTAGGAGTTTCAGGCTGAAGGTCGACTGATTCTTTGAGCTTCTCGCTGCTAAACGGACTCGTTCTGGTGGTTTGTTTTGGACTTGTTTTGCGGTTCAGACGGTTAGAACCACTGAAGCAGAAGCTTTTCATTCTGCCTGCAGGTGACCGTTAATATGTGAAACACAATAAACCCGCAGCGTGAGTTCAGACTCCGGAGCTGCAGGTTTCTGTCTGAAGGTTTGTCCAGGCGTTACCATGGTTACCGCTAACAGGCTAACAGGGCTGCTGATGTGTTTCAGGCTGTAATGAAACGAGAGCAATAAACTCGTTAAAGGGCTTTTTCTAACCAACGGTGTTCATGTCAGAGAAGAAACAAGCAGCCGTTTCCATGTTCTCCAGACGTCCAGGTCATCAGCAGCTCGTCTGGTTCTGGTCTGGTTCTGGTCGTGGTTTGGTTCGGCTGTTCACTCCCTATGAGCCCAACTCACGCCGTGTTTTATTCTTAGAAACAGCGTCGGGTTTTTGGAGGTTAGCGAGGCGTCGCTCACGTCGGCTCCGAGCTTTAAATCTGGTTCTGATTCATGCTAACTGTTAGAGCCGCTGGAGACTCGCTGAGCGTTCTGGTGTCGAACAAATGTTTTAGTTTCCTGTGATGTTGAGACGTCTTTAGCATTTATCATTTAGAAGGAGAACACAGAGGAAGCCTGGTCCTGCACGTTAAACATGACGTCAGAAAAAGTCCTGCGTTTCAATTCAAACCCAGGAAAAGTTCCCGTCGTTATAAATGTACATGTTGAAGTTTGTTTGCTGTCATTATATCTAAAAATGTAACAGTCACACGTTCCAGATAGACTGAGTCTCTTTCTTTCTAACCATTAGTGTTGTTGTTGTTGTTGTTGTTGTCGTTTTGGCAGTATTAGGCCTCCGTACTTCTTGTCCTTCATGTCATACATATACTCGAGTTAATTAAATGAAATCGCTGAGTGAGTCAGATGGCCTTAAATGATCATTCTCAACACGTCCATAACGCCAGAATTTATTATTTCTGTTTTTTCATTCATTGTGTTTTTTGGGCAGGATTGGGCTTCCGTACATGTTGCTCTACATGTCAACTACATAAACAAACAAACAAACCAAAATGCTCTGTAATGGTTATTTCCATTCATAATGTCGGATCTTTACTGGTTTTGACTTTAATTATTTTTGTTTAGAATTTTTTATGTTTCGTCGACACGTTTTCTTTTTCTGGCAGGAATGGGCTTCCATACAGGGTCAAACTTTTTCATTTAATGAACAACTTATAACTTATGAGATCATGCAGTTTAAATCCAAACACCGACATGTTTTCTGGGAACTCTGAACCGTCCAACGGCCGTAAACTCTGAGGAGTTTTCAGTTGAAGTTTTCGGTTATTTTCGGCCACAGTCTTCGCAGCTCGCTTCCTCTTTTTACTGATAAGTCATCAAATATTTCTGACTTCCTCAAACTGTTCTCTGTTCTCACCACCTTCTGGTTTTCTGTTTCAGAGAATGTGGCGCCGAGACGTTTGTCAACTTCGCTTCGTTCGAGCGAGACGGAAAACTTCCCTACAACTGGTACGAAGCTGCTGCTGCTGCGTTTGTTTGTTGGTCAGTGAAGCGTTGAAATGACCGAAGCCCTTCACGGTCCTCAGACCAGGTTTCTAGCAGAGCTGGATTCTGCTCTGCCTCAGTACCAAAGCTCCAGACGCCCTGACGGACCTGATGGAGGCAGATTAGCAGCCAGGCAGCAGATTGAGGAGGCAGATTAGAGATTTGAAGTGGAAGCTGCAGATTTTAGCTCGTGGCTTTAAGCAGCGCGAGGCGACGACATGATGATGATGGTGGTGGTGAAGATGAGCCCCCTGCTGTGTTTGGACCAGCTGAAACGGGGTGTTTGTTGATGATGAGGGCTCAGGATTTCCCTTGATCTCAGATTAAAGGGATAAAATGTCAATTTTGGAGTCAGTTGTGTTAAATTCTACCAAACAAGACGCGACAATTCGCCGTCGACAGCTCTTTAAAATTAGTCTTTTTTAAACAAACGGATCAGATTCAGTCCTACACGTGATCTCACGACACAGATGTGTGATTAATATAACAGCTGAAAGACGGTCAGTTAAGGCAGAACCTCGGCTTCCATCTGCTGTTGTATTGGACCTCCATCACTAAATGCACTTCCCCATCAGAGTGTGTCCTGTGGCGGTGGACTGTGTTGATGCTTTGACTGTGCATGTCGGCAGACTCCATGTTTGGTGTTTCAGCTGAGTGATGTGAAACGTGACGCCTCCACTGATGCACGAGAAAAATGTCTGATCTCAAAATGTCAAGTTTTAAAAACACGTATGACCCCCTTGTTTATTTATTCATATTTACATTTAAAGAAAAGTAAACATCTGCACAAACTGAAACAATATTATTTGTTACCTTCAAAAGTCCAAAACTGCCAGTGCTTTAACCACTGAGGTGCACCTCAAGGCTCCATCCTGGGTCCTCTTCTTTTCTATGTTTAGACCTGTTGTGTCTTTCATTTGTGTGCACAGTTGTGTGTATATTTGTGTGTATTAATGCTACCAACTGACTCTAACTAGGTTGTAATGAAGTAAAACAGATGCTGATACAGAAATCCAAAGCAAGTCAATGTGACATCTACACGTGACTGGAACCAGTTTTTAGAAAATGGTCTGAAGCAGGGACACCGCTCCTTTTAGCCCAGTAACAGTTTGATTTAACTGTTCCAGCTGGGACACTACTGGACCTGTCAGACCTGCTCATGTTCAAATATTGGCCATAAATGCAAAAAAAAAAATAAAAAAGTAATATAGTTTTTCTCATAAGGTGGCCCTGAGTGGCACAAGGCTCCACATTCACAGGAAAAAAAGCCTCTTGGGGTGAAAACTAAAGATTTGAGGACACCATCATATAACTGGTCTATTCTGTAAAAGCAGGTTTTACTGTTGAACACCAGGCTGTCAGTGGGCCTCTAAGGTTTCAGGATTCTACATTATTGCTCATGTTGTGGCTTCAAACATTGACCCACAAAAAATCAACATGACTCGACTTTCTTTAAGAATTTTAACTTAAGGACTCTGAACAGCTGCAACGTGAACTTTATTCAGGATTCAGTGAACTGAGGTGGAATAATTCAGCTGCAGACCTCCAGGAACTGTCGACACAGGCATGTGTAAAGCACCAGGTTAGTCTGAAAGGACCTCACTCTGCAACGTAGACGTTTCTCTACCAGATCCTGTTAGTTCATGTCTAAACATGATGTTGTCAGAACGACCAAGTGGTTTGTTGCCTTATGGGTAACGTTCAGCAGCACAGTGACTCTGATGAGACTTTTTATTTGGCTGTTTAACATCACAGACGTATTAAATCGTGTCCAGAGTTGTGGCGAGCGACGGTTTAACGTGTCCATCCTCGAGTTTCAGACAGTCGAGTCCTTGAGTTTCTCTGCATCAGTGGAGTCGTGACGAGCAACACAATGTTAATGAGATCATCAGGTTCTGAAGGTGGACGTCACAAACTGAGAACTGTTTATTCATGCTGCGGGCTGAGTGTTGCATTGTGGGTCGGAGGACGCCGTGATGTCACAGATTGAGGTTGTTCAGACAGACAGAGCAGCCATTGACGTCCGTCGGCAGCAGACAGAGTCCTGTTGTCCTGCTGCATGAAGCATTAACTCTGTGTTCAGCACTAATGTGCCTCTTTACTAATGGAGCTCCATGTTCTGTCCCAACCTGTCGCCCCCTGCTGGCGTCTGTTTCTTTATTTTTTTCTTGTGTGTATTTTTATTTTTATTTTTATTTGAACCCCTTCAGGCGAAGAAGCCTCTTTGCCTTCCTTACCCTACTGCCATCCTGCCTTTGGACTGACTATCTTTTGGCTTTTTATATTAATCCGTGGTAAGTAAGCACTTGCTGGCCAAAAACACTGCACTTCAGGGGCATGTTTGATCAGCGCCACAGCCCACAGTATTGATCAGAGACACTGTTTTGTTAAAGGGAGGAGTCACGGATCAGTTCTGGTTATAGATCAGTCTGGTGCTGTTCTGGATTTCTGTCAACAGATCTCATGAAAAGGCCAAAACAACAGTGTTTAATGTGTTGGTGAACCTCAGGGCTCGATTCTGGATCCTCGACTTTTCTCCGTTTACATCTTGTTTATATGTGGTTTGTCAGTTCTATGCAGATGATACACAAATCTATTGTTGAAAATTAACTGTCTAATATCTTTGGATTTTACCAGGATAAGACAGAAATGATTAACTTTGGCTGAAGGGTTTTCCTCAATACCAACCAATTTTTATAAAATAGCACAAAAAAAACGATGTGTTTCCTGACGTGGTGCCTCCAGGCTCCAGTCTGCGCCTCATTCTACATTTGCATAGTTTCTCTATGAATATATAAAACTACATTTTCTAAACTGGAGTTGCACCAAGTGGCTCTTTAACAGTTGTCTGACCAAAAAAAAAACACTTATTAATACCAGGACAACCAACAAACGAATCAATGGCTAATGTTCCTCCAGATTAAGCCTCTAAGTATGTTTGTAGCTGCCCTGCAGGTTTCTGATCTGGAGAAACTAGCAGCAGGACAAAATAAATTCTCAGTGTTTTCCAAAATCACTGTAAAAATGAATAAATCTGATCAGTTATTTCTGTGGTTAAAGTTTAGCCACAAAGAAAACAACTAGTTCAGGATCAGGGGAGTTTAGTGTTTACATCATGAAGATTAAAAAACTATTTTGACAATTAATATGATATGACAAGCGGTTTGGTTCTGTGTTAAAGTCCAGCTGGTTATGGACCCAGCCGATGAGCCCATCCTCCTCCCACTGCTGTATTTTTACAGTCTGAAAACACTTTGGGTTAATGTCTGTTGTTTTAAACGTTCTGTGAGTGACTTGTCAAACGACAGATCATGTCTTATAGTTCCATTAACACTAGCAATAAACTCGTTCTTTACATTAGATCTGGTGTTCCGCAAGGATCCGTTTTAGGGTCCTTGTTGATCTTAATTCACAAAAGAAACATACATTTGTAAACTGCAATTTGCTTTTTTATTATTAGATGACAAGACTACTCTGAATAACAGATACCTGTATTGTCTGCAAGTAGAATATTAGATGCCAGTTTGAGTTTTTGACAAAAATAATTACAAAGGAACTGAAATCGATCCCTGTGGAACACCAGAATTAAGGAGCTTATGAATGTCAAGTCACTGCTAGAAAACAAACCACTGAAAACACTTGATGTCCACAAAACTCAAATTCAGTATTTTATTTGGACCTAAGTAAAAACAAGAAAGTATTTGTTGAAAGAAATTCTCTAATTTTTGGAGTTAATAACAGATGTATGACATGTTTTACGTGTATGTCAACTACACACGTGTACAAACACAAAAAGTATAAGAAAAACACACAATAGACAAATAATACTTTGCTTGTTGTGTAAATTATCATCCTTATGTAGCCGCCTGAGAAGAAACCAGGTCCTCTCCTCGCAGCGCTGCACCTGGTGTTCCACAGGGATCCATGTTAGAGCCCCTGTGATTCATTGACTCACATTGTTTGACATCAGTGAGTATTAGTAGCAGCAGGATGATGTTTGTGGAACAAAATAATGTCACTGCTGTGTTTTAGTAGCTCCGTGGAACAGATCCTGAGTGTTTGTTAGCAGGAAACCGTCAGTGTTGGTTTGAATCTGAGGTTTGTTGACGAGAAGCGAATCCAGAACATCACCAGACGTTCAGCCTCATTCTGACATTAAGGGTTAAACAGGAGTCAGCAGCTGACTTTCTGACTTGTGGAACTTTGTCCGGCAATGCTGTGTCTGTGGTCGAACTCTGAGTCACACCGAGTCTGTCTCTACTAACATGTTGGATTAGCATGATGCTAACTCTGGCTTCGCTCCATGTTTGGTGTCTGCATGCGTCTGTGCTTCTCTGGTGGGTTTGATTTAGAACCCAGTCTGTAGTTTAGCTTCATGTCTTCTTGTAGTCGTGGAGTCGAGTGCATGTCGCTGGTCTGAACATCGATCTGCTGATTGTGTTTTAGCCTCCAGATTTCCTCCCACCTGATGTTTTCAGACTCAGCCGAGTTTCAGAACGTCAGCTGTGACGACGAGGAAATTTTGGGGCATTTTAACGCAGTTTTCAAATTGTGTTAAAATGCTTGAATGTAGAAGCAGCAGCATGAAGCTAGAAGCTGCATGATGGACGTAGAAACCAGGGAGCAGACTCAGACCAGACTGTGAGCATGAAGGTTTTCTCCTGTTGAGTTGTTGTGAAGTTCTGCTCCGTCGGGTCGAACCGGTGTTTGGGTTTAAACGGAAGTCTGTGGCTGCGACAGTAAAACGAAACAATGCGCTCATCGTTCATGAAACTAAACGTTTAACGAGTTTCCCTTTAACGGTTAGAAACGTAAACGTATTCAAAAATTAGACTCAGAAAATAAAGTAGTCGGTTCCTAAACATTATATTTGTCATAAAAATGCACATAAATGAAAAGCGGGATTCAAATCTGAGCCATAGACTTCTGATTTATTTTATATTACAATTCATATGATAAGAAAAAAAGATCTGTTGAAATAAATTATGATGTGAAAATATTCTTGAAATACACGATTATAAAAACAGCTTTCAGATGAGATGATCTATGATGTGTTTGATCACATTTAAGTATTTTAATCAAACAAAATGCACATAAATGGAAACTACAGATTAGCTTTTAATTCATCAAGTAAAATAATTCTGTCAATTAAGATTTAAATCAGATTCACAGAAAAAATTCTAAATAGAATTTTATGTAAAAAAAAAAAAAGAATTTCTTTGTAATTAAATGAGCAGATTGAATGTGAGCTGCAGAGTCTCATACAGCGTTAACATAAATATTAAAATACATTTCTGATGTTAAACGTCACCTTCAACCAACAACAATTAATAAATTAATTCAATCATATTTACCTCCAATTAAAATTGGAATAAACACGTTTATTAAAGCTTCGACTGTTTCCTGATTTTACTTTTTTCTGTTTAAAGCTGCAGCAGAGTTCAGCAAATGGAGACGTTTAAACTTCATTTATCTGCATGAAAACAGACTTTTTAGGTTTTATTTAGAGTTTACGATGAGTTAAATTAAATCAGGCTTTTAAACAGTGAGTCCAGCAGATCTCAGCAGCTCTGATGAACCTCTAATTCCTCATGTTTGTGTTCGTTAAGAATTCTGCTGTTGTTCAGACTTAATTATTTGTACTGAAGCTGACTGTAGTTGCAGCATCCGGCCTGCGGGCGGCGCCGCTGCTGCTCGCCAGTTAAACCCACATCGGCCGGACCTGACGGAACAGAACCGAACGTGTTGCTGCGTCAGAAATCATCATGAGGACTTTACGTGTTTTATTTTGTAGGAGCAAGACCGCTTTAAAGAAACGGAAGCTAACAAGGTAACCGACTCAACGGCAGCTTCAGCTTTCAGCCGCTGGACTTCATCTGTGTGTGTCTGTGTGTCGTCGCACTAATGCCAGCTGAGCAGGAAGCTCTGAACCCAGCAGGAAGCTCCACAGATCCACAGAGACCAGATGCTACTGCCCAGAGGGTTTTAGTTTCAGATTTGACCAAAACAATTACAAAGGAACTGAAATCGATCCCTGTGGAACACCAGAGTTCAGGAGCTTCTGAATGTCAGGTCACTGCTAGAAAACAAACCGCTTCATGAACTTGATGTCCACAAAACTCAGTCATCGTTTTATTTGGACCTAAGTTACAGATATTTTTGTGACATGTTTTTACGTGTAAATCAACTACACACGTGTACAAACACAAACAGTGTCAGAAAAACACACAATAGACAAATAATTCTTCATTTGTCGTGTAAATTATCATCGTTGTGTAGCCACCTGAGAAGAAACCAGGTCCTCTTCTGGCGCGCTGGTGTTCCACAGGGATCCATGTTAGAGCCCCTGTGATTGACTGACTCACATTATGTGACCTTATTTGTAGCAGCAGGATGATGTTTGTGGAGCAGTCGGATCCACAGAGACCAGATTCTACGATTTACTGCTCGGAGGGTTTTAGTTTCATATTCAGAGTCATACAGTCAACACTGAGGTGTTACTGCAGGATAAATTAAAATAAACGAGCTGTTAACGTCGCGTCTCGTCTAACCGGCGGCTTTAATTAGAATCTGATAATAAAATGTACTCGATTGTAAAACGAGACCTTCTGATTAAAAACTACTTTACGTACGTCTTAGTTTGTAGGAGACGGTTTCTATTGAGCCTCTGAACTCTGAGCAGCTCCTGGTCCATGTTTCAGCATCAGGTCCTGCAGCTCTGAGGAACCAGAACCTGAAGGAGGAGACAGAACTCAGAGACGTCTTCTGTCAGAACGTCCATGTTTAGGTGGAAACGCCTCCTGCAGCTCACCTGAACTCTGATTTGTTGCCACCGGGCTGCTGCTCTCTGCCGAGTCGGTCGAGGCTTCACCGAGAAATTCTGAATCTTTTGTTTTTTACAGAAACGTTTCATTTTTGTGAATTTTTAAATGAGACCTGAAGAGTGAAGTTACTGAACGTTCCTCGTGAGCAGTTCAAGGACCGTCGGAGATCTGATGCATCTCCCTCTTTTTACGGTTTCTGTTTCCTTTAATAGATCAGATTCCTTTCAGAGGATCAAACAGCAGCTTTATGGTTAAAGTGAAGCTCAGATGAATCCAGTAAACACCGTCTGACAGCAGAGTCCACAGGATTAGAACCAGGATTCTGCTGCAGGCGTTCTGACCTCAGCTCGTTAGTTACTGAAGGTTCAGCTCGTGTTCGTCCGTCTGTTTCCTCACAAGTCAAATTAAATGTGTGAAACTAAAACGAGTTAAATTCAGTGACTGTGATGAGTTTACAGATTTAAACTGATTCTGTTGATGAGTTTCATGTCTGAGGTTCTGTTTCTGCTCCAGTCCCGTCCAGCTCGACGACTTTGACGCCTACTTTAAAGAGATGAGCAAAGACTCGGCGTACAAGTTCTCCCTCCAGTTCGAGGTACGAGTCCGTCTGACTCTGATCAGGTCCAGGTTCGGTCCGATGGAGGTGATCTGATGTTTCTGTGGATGTTTCAGGAGCTGAAGAGCGTCGGTCTGGATCTGTCCCACGGCGCCGCCGACCTTCCAGTGAACCGGCCGAAGAACCGATACACCAACATCCTGCCCTGTGAGCCGATCAGCTGATCAATAATCACGTTGGCCGATCGATCCCGTTGATCCGTGAACCTGTTAACCTACCAACTGATTCTGTTTCTCTCAGACGACTTCAGTCGGGTGAAGCTGATCTCGATGCACAACGACGAGGGTTCGGATTACATCAACGCCAACTACATCCCCGTGAGTATCGAGACAACCAGAACCAGAACCAGAACCCAGATAACCCGTCATCACACACGTGTCCACAAGTCGCAGCCCGAACGCTTCACTCAGCAGAACCTGATCAGATGATCATGTGATCATTGAAGAGATCAGACTTTTGTATGAACCTTTATTGACACATTTCTGCTCGACAGGAGCTTTGATTAATTATGACGACACCAAAATCAGTGATTATTAAAAAACAAACATTGAGGAACGCAATTACACAATAAATATAAACATAGAACTGCATAGAAAACCTAAATAACAACATGTAGAAAATAATAAAAAAACAAAAACTAAAATAAATAAATGAAA